CAGCCTGGCCTTGGGGGGAATGATGCTCTGTAGGGCGGGTGCAGCAGCGGAAAAGGCCCCCCTCCTGGGTCCCGCCAGATGACCCGCTAGTGGACGGAGCCCACAACAAGCCTCTCCTGCTGGACCTGATGGGACGGGTGGTTGCCACCGGGGAGAGGCGGTCCTTCAGTTTTTGGTGCCTCCGAGTCAGTCTTGACTCCTGGCAACCGCCTGGGCAAGTCCCTGCAGTTTTCTTGGCAACGTTTTTCGGAAGTGGCTTGCCATTGCCTCCTTCCTAGGGCTGAGAGAGGGTGACTGGCCCAAGGACACCCAGCAGGCCCAGCCCAAGAACAAGGGTGAAACAGTCCAGTTCCTTTATTTGCTTTATTTCCCCATGCTGGCTGGGGAATTCTGGGAGTTGAAGTCCACTCATCTTAAAGTGGCCAAGTTTGGACAACACTGGCTTACACCCTATAGACAGAATCTTACCAGACTAAGTCTGTACTCTGACCTAGTGGATCTACCCCGGGAGACTCCAGGGAGGGCTATCCCGCACCTCCTCCGCTTCCCACACTCCCCCTGCGGACTCTGCCGCCTCTTGCCTCCTCCCCCCTCCCAGAATGCGCCCCCTCCTCCCTGATCGCCTTGCTCTCTCTCAGTGCCTCAGGCGAGACTAGAACTCAGGGCCTCCCGGTCTCTAGCCTGACGCCTTAACCACTACACCAAACTGGCTCTTACATGGAATATTATATCAGACACACACAGACACGCACACACAAATACGTCTGTGTGTGATTAACCCCAACCTACAACGGACTCCGTCCCACTCTGGCAGAGCATATACATTGAGAGCAGCGATAAGACCTCGTGGTCAGAAGACGAGATTTGTAAAACTGCGGGTGGCTTGGCATAAAAGAGATGAGGGGAGTGTTAGGGATGCAGAGGACGGGAGGCTTGACCGAGAGGCAACCTTCGCTTAATTAATTAATTCCTTTGCTTAATTAATTAACACACACACCCCGAAGGTGGGGATTTTAGAAAACATAGAACATGCTAAGCTTATTATGGGATGTCCATATGTAACATGGAACCAGGTGCGTCTGCGCAACATTGTAACCAATCATACCTATTTTCTTATCTCAATGTAACCAATTATGTTTATTCCCTTTTTTTCCAACAAGTATAAAAATAGATGTAACTTCGGGGTCCTGTTGGGCGGGACCCGGGAGAAAGGGGTTCCGCGCTTTGCAGCAGACAACATGGCTCGGGGCAGGGTGTTTGAGTCCTCCGAGCTAGTTCTGGGCTTGCAAACATTTCATTGTCACACTAGGGAGCAGTTGCACCCGCTCTGGCCACAGGCATCTGCAAGCCACCATCGCAGGTCTTCTGGAGCCTCTGGTTGCCCTCCTCCCGGAGTAACCCGGATCCGGCACCCACTCTTGCTGCACCACTCAGCTGGAGAACCTGATCGCATCCTTCACGATGGGAAGAGTTTTGGCCACTGCCGATGCCAGATTCTCGTGCTCTTGTGTCCTCTGTTACTCCACTGCAGCGATCCAACGAAAACACACGGATCTCTGGCAGGACCGCTGGCCGATCCTCCAGCCACTGAGATCCTTTCAAGTTAACAGAAAGGCGACCGTTTCCTTTCATTGCACGGACTTCCCATTCCTGGCCTGTCGCGGCTCTCGGAGGATGCCAAGACTCACTCTGAGTCTGGGTTTGCCTGGCTGGATCAGCCAAAGAGTCTGGTTTATGAGGGTGCGCCCACGGCTCTGTGGGGGAGTCTTTCACTGGTCAGAGCCTTCTCCCTCAGGGCCCAGTTCTGGACCAGCCTTTAAGAAAGTGGAACAGGTTCAGGCAAAGGCAGCGAGGGAAATCGAGGGCCAGGAGCAAAGCCCTGCAAAGAGAGGGCGACGGAGATTGAGATGGCTGGCTTTGAAGTTCAAAGGGTTTGGGTGCTCTTCAAGGACCCCAAAAACTCTGGTCCTGCAGGAGGAGGTCCGGGCCTCTCACCCCAGAGAGCGGGAGACCAAATAACGAAGCCACGGCCTGGTTAAGGGTTAGGGGAAAGCTCCTGGCACGACGAGTGGTTGGCATGAGTCGGTATTTCAGACAGGGGGTGGATCCCCTTCCTGGAATAGGCTGAAGACAAGGCTGGGCAGCCCCCCTCCCTGGAATGAGGCCCTCAGCTGGAAGTTGGACTCCAGGGCCCCAAGGAACTTAGGCAGCTTCTGCCCGCCTCCCCTCATGGCTGGACTGCTGCAACTCACTCTGCCTGGGGATTGCCCTTAAAGGCCACGGGGAAGCTTCAGCTGCCTGGGAGGCTATGGGCCCATCAAGGTTTGCCCATGCAAGGCTGCTACTTCCAGGGCTCCGTTGGAGGCCAGTTAGCTTCTGGGTGCAATGGAAGGTGCTGGGTGTCCTCTTGAAAGCCCTTTGTGGGGGGACCTCCAAGACCACCTTCTCGGGATTGAATTTGTCTGCCCAGGGAGATGGGGAAGGGAGGGCTGGCTGAGGTCAAGGAGGCAGCAGCAAGGATGGTCAGAGGACCAGAAACGAAGCTTTTTGTAGGGAGGTTGAAAGAGTTGGGAATGTTGAGCCCTGAGAAAAGACTCAGGGAATGGGCTCCATGGCTCAAGGGTCCCGTCCAGCTCCAGGAATGTATGATTATCTGGGGAACTTACACTGGGAAGGGCTACTAGGAACTGCCAAGGGTGGCAGGCTGTGGACTGCCGCAGAAAGCAAGGGGCCTGTGAACGTGGACAATACCACTGAGGGCATCTGGGAAGCCAAACAGGAACCAGCTAAGAGGCAGCCAAGGCCTTGGGCTCTCCCTGATCCACCAGAGGGAGCAATGGCGTACTTTATTCCAGTGTTTCTCAACCATGGCGACTTTTAAGACGTGTGGACTTCAACTCCCAGAATTCCCCAGCCAGCTGGCTAGGGAGAGATGGGCGGGGATAAGTTTGATAAACAAATAAATAAAATAAATAAATAAATCTGAATCTGAATCTGGACAAGATGGAGTTGCTACCAACTCCAGAGGGGAGGTGTGGCAGGGGGCACGTTGGAAACATAGCCACAGCTGTACCAGCGCTCAGCATCTTGCAACATTTGGACCACGGAAGAGCGCAGAAAGAGTTAGGGATCCCTTCCGGGTCCCTTTATCTGAGAATGCAGATATCAGGGAATCGCCATCCCGTTTTTGCTTTGCAAACATCCCCCCCGCCCCACTTGGCTACCTCTGTGAAAGGATGTAGCTTCAAGGGAGCATCCCGTTCTCCAAGTGCACAAACTGCTTCTTCCCAGAGACAGGACAATGCAGAGTTTGGAAGATATGCCTAATCTGATCCATCGGATTTACTTAAAAGTGCTATCAGAGATGGTATAGAAGGCTGGCTGGGGAATTCTGGGAGTTGAAGTCCACTCATCTTAAAATGGCCAAGTTTGGACAACACTGGTACATACATTCCGTTTTCCCTTAGAGGAGATACAGGTATGTCATTCCCCCATGTATGGGGTTTTACATTGCTTCCACCCCACCCCCTCTTTGAGCACTGGGGAGGGGGGAGTTTCTCTATTTTTACTGTTCATCCTGTGTGCTGTGTGAAGGCCTGTGAGTTTGATTCCTGGCAGAGGGTCTGAACCCCACAGAACGATGTTTCACCACCTTGGCAACTTTAAGATAGGCGGACTTCAACTCCCAGAATTGGCTGGCTACCCACACCTGAAGATTCCCAGTACGGATGAAACTGGTGATATGGTGTCTCCTGGCAGTCACCGCAACACTTCCCCTTAAGCATCAGGATTGCAGCCTGGGGTCTTCCCAGACAAGCACAGTCTATAATAATCATAATCATAATCATCACAAAATGCAAAGACCTGCAAATAGAAGCAGAACGACCATGGCGAAAGAAAGCCAAGAGAGTCCCAACAGTCACAGGCGCCTCGGGTGCCATCCCAAAACATCTGGAGCACCCCTTGAGACCATCAGCATTGACCAGATCACCGCCAGTCCTTTGCAAAAGGCAGCTTCACTTGGAACAGCTTCCATCCTGCAACGGTACCTCTAACGCCATCAACCAACCCCATCTGCCTATCCCGGGTCCTTGGGAAGGACGCGATAGGTGGGTAAAAATGCCAAGTCGAGTCTAATCATCTGGCTGACTGTGCGACCAACCATAATTGTATACACAATTATACGGTACGTATAAATGTATATGGTGCCTGACTCCCTGCGACCACAGGACTTCTGTGCTGAGTCTTTTAATCCGGTTTGGCTGATAAACCATGTGGGGCCTTTCCTGGAGATGTGGCAGGATGGGCTGAGAGGGTCTCTCCAACTCCAGGTTGAAGCAACGGAGACGTGGGACCAATTCACAGGACTTCACTGTAGCGTCCGCAGTTTTTGCACGGCTTAGCCCCAAATGACCTGCAGAATCATCTACGCTTTTACAGTCCACCTCATGCCCCTAGACCTTCAGGTCAGTCTAAAGTCCCATCATAGGAGGTTTAATAATAATTAATTGCATTTTCCATGACAGAGCCTATGTTTTTCGTTTGTTAAAATATAAGAAGGCCTTAAATGTTTCACCCAGGCCCGTTAAGAGCTATCCTTGACTCGCCTGGCTCTGTTGTGTTCAGTTCACACAAGCATCCTGGAAGCCCACGTTGACTTTAAGATGGACTTCAACTCCCAGAACTCCCCAGCCAGCATGGCTGGCTAAGGAATTCTGGGAGCTGAAGTCCATACATCTTGGTTGCTGAGATGGCGAAACACTGATCTAGATTATTTGTTTCCCAGGATTGCATCCTTTTGTTCTAGCAACTGAGCAGAGCGGGAAATCCTGAATTTCAGAGACCTTGAGAATATCCCTCATGGTATGCAGCGTCTCCAACCTCCTGGAGAGAGGGCTGGTTGGAACTAGGGCTGCCCAGAAAAGTTTCAACATCCCCTGACTATTTAGAATTGCCCCCTATTATGGCCTAGAGAATCAGAACAGAAAAAAATATCCATTTTTTTTATTCATAAAAGGCAAAAAGACATGTCACTGACCACAGAGTCTCACACCTAAGTATAAAAAGATCTAAAAAAAAAACTAAGAGGGGAAAAAAATCTCCCACCTCTTACTGCGAGCATCCAAAGCACAGATTTTTAAAGTCACACAACAATATCACTCAGCGATGATCCGTTTTAAAAACAACAGGACAATTTTAAAAGACGGGATGAAACACACTTAACACCCCCGTACCGCTGTCCCGTGCAAGACAAGCAGCCAGACAGGAGCGTTTTAAGTCAATGTGACCTAATGAGAATCCGAGAAGGAAGAGGGCCGAGCCGGGCCGGGCGGGGCCGGGGGGCGCGTTATATGCAGAGGCCAGCTTGGCTTACGCCTGCAGCCGGAGGGTCTGTACCAGGGTCCCCAGCACTGCATCAAGGTCGCTTTCATGCGGGGAATGCCCTCCTCCTCACCCCGCCAGCCACTCCAGCCCCACAGCCTTTTCAGTGGCTCTGTCTCTTGAGCACAGCCAACGGGGGGGGGGGGGGAAGAGGGAGGAGGAGGCGGCTGCAGCTGTTTCTCTTTTGGAGGGGGCATAAAGCCCAAGGAAACAGACTCGCCGTGCCCAGCAAGAAGTTCCGACAGTCCCAGGAGGCTGACAGGTGGCACTCCCCGAATCCCCCCCCAATGACATCACGACACAGCAGCCTTCCCCAATGCCACCTAGGCCCCTTCCGCTGGCCCCCTTTGCCAGGCTCGCCCCCCCTTACAAAGGACGGCTCCCTTGGACCCTCAGACCGAAAGCCAGACCGCTGCCCGGGCTCCAGGAGCCAGAGACCAGCTGCGTCTCGCAGGAGCGGGCAGAAAGGGCGGTGCCCAGTCTCTTGGGGGGCCCTTAAGGCGCCCGGCTCAGCTCTGCAGGCCGGATCTTCATGGCAGCGGATCGCAAGGGGTAGTAGCGCCCTCGCCAAGTCTTCCAGAAAATGCCCTGCTTTCTCTGGTGCCGCTGGCGCGGGATGGAGCGGAAGTATTTCCCGTTGAGGTTGACGTGGCCACAGTAGCTAAACCACCAGCCTCCTGCAAGAAGCAGATGGGGCAAAAGACAGGGGTCAGCCCGGTGCATAAGTTGATACATGGACTTCTTCTAAGCACCTTAACTGGGAACTCTGCCCGGGCACTCTCCGTAGGAAGGCAAGACGGAAAGACCATATTCTGATCTGGAACCGAAGCTCTGGAGTCATCTCCTCAAGGGCTCTTTGCGTTCGTTATTTTCCTGTCATCTTAACAGCAGCCCTTCCAGGCAGCCTTTCCCCCCACTGCACGCTGTACTGTTTGCATAACCCGCCCCCCCCATCCTCCTAGCCACTGCCAAGCGGGAAGGGCGGCATTCGTGACTCCAGATTTCCAAACAGGGGCCCTTCCCAGCCCTAGCTGGAAGGGTTCCCAGGAATGGAAGCCATACACACGTGGGTACGGTGGAGATTTGGCAGATATCAAATTCCACCAGCACATCTGTTTGCATTTTATCCCCACAACCGCCCTGTAAGGGAGACTGGGCAGAGAAGGAGAGACAGACTGGCCTAAAGTCACTCTGGGTTTCCCTGGCAAGCTCTTCCTGAAGGCTTCACCCCTCCACCAGGACCCTGCTCTGTGGTCACCATTTGTCCGCAAGCAGAGAGTGGTCAAAAAAGTCAAGGGGGCAGCCGCAACGCTGCCACCAAAGCTCTGCCCGCCTTTTACGCACATCAGGGCTTCAACTGCCCCGTCTGCGAGCGCCCCAGGACCCTCCCGCCCTCTCTGGCCAGGGGCAGCTCCGGGGCATTTGCGGGGAGCTCCGAGTCCCTCAACCGACCTGAGAGGTGCTTGGCACAGTTGGTGTCTCCCTTCAGGTCGTGGTCCTGATCCCTTGTGGAAAAAGGCAGCTGGGGGAAGTCCCCCATGGCACTCTCCAGCTCTCCCAGGATGGGCCCCAGGAGGCTGAGCGTGTAAGCCGTGTCCTCCCCGCCCAGCCTAAAGAGAAACTGGGCGCTCCGGGCGTTCCCCTCCCAGTCCTGCAGCTCGATTAGCAGGTGGAACTGCCCCTCCTTCACGATCTGGTGCATCTTCTCCAGGCCTAGCCAGAAATCCCCTAAAGAGAACAAAGCGGTGGAAATAACTGAGCACCGGGCGCGACTAAAAGGCAGCCTCAAAGCAAGATCACCAAATCTCAGGGCGCCCCTCCACGGGCTGGGACAGCATCCTGGCAGGAATTCTCAGGGCCGCCGCCACGTTCACCCACCTGTCAGATTTCCAAAGCCATCCTTATAGGCGTCCCACAGCCGGTCAAAATCTACAGAGCCGTCCAAGCGCTGCTGGATCACAGTCCAGCCTCCGTTCTCTGCCGACAGAGAGAGCAGGAATAAGGGCACCGAAGGGCCGAGGCGCCAGCTTCACCTCCGCCCCAGCCCTGAGCTGCCATGGCACCTCCCCACCCCCAAAACACTGACTGATTCCCTAAAAACACGGTGAGCTGGCAGGGAGCTACTGGAAGATCTGGCACAGCATTAACAGCTGCTTTTAAATTTCATTACTGTGGACACCTTGCAGGAGGGAAGCTGTGTTTGTCTATGGTGGCGAAAAAATTAGGAGTCCGGTGGCACCTTTTGCAGCTCACAAAGGTTATTTAAAGGTAGAAGCTTTTCGACGAGACTCCTGATTTTTTTACAGTGGGAACAACACACACACACACACACACACTTCTCCCAAGTCAAATCAGCCATCTCCCAGCCGTATGGAGACTGGCATCCAGGCTTGGCATGCCCCCAGCAACCTCCTCCCAGCACAACTTACCCATGTCACAGAAGACTTTGAAAGCCTGGGCTCCGGGGGGCTGGATCTCAAAGACCCCACTGTTCTGCTGCCCCTCAAGGAAGAGGTCGTGACAGCCGACTGGAAGCTCTGCAAGCCGAGAGAGAGCGAGCCAGAAGCAAGACTGTCAGGATGGATTAACATACACGTTACGGAAGCCGGTCTGTTGACTGAAGAGGCTCAGACTTCCCCAATCTCAGCTCTTCGGCTCTGTTCAGCTGCAACCCGCAACGTCTCAGAGTCACGGATGACAGATTTGGGAAAGCTGTGATCCAACACTTCTAGAGGTGCGCAGCTCGACAAGGTCCTTTATGGTTTAATAACCCATTGGGTGGGTCCCTTTGCTTATACCTATGTATTCATCTTCAGGGCTAATTGCAAAGCATTTTTGGTGGGTTTACCTGAACATTTGCAACCGCAGATATTAAAACACAAAAGCGCAGCATCTTAAAACAGTGAAATCTGGAATTCCACTCCATGCAAGAATCCAAGCGAAAACATTTTCAATAGGACAATATTCACAAATATATAGAGAAATGGAAGATCGTGCACTGAACACTACTGTTTGTTTTCTCTATTTTCGTTCATGAAGACATTCCTTTGTATAATAATTTGCTCGTTTTGAGAAAAAAAAAGAGCTTGTTATTTGAACTGTTGTTTGGAGTATCAATTGGTTAGTAAATCTAAGCCCAAACCTGAATTTTGATCATTTGCATAATGTTACAAACACTTGTACAGTATGCACAATTAAAAAAAAAAAACCACATGCCCGCTTGTTTGGAATCAAGTCTCGTGAAGCAAAGAGGAATCTGAGTAAACAAGGACAGGATTCAGTGGCATCCCAGGGTGGGGGCCGGGGGGCTCAAAATGCAAGATGGTTGATATGTTGCCACAACCCAAGCCTTGCCCGATTTGTACCTGTGCGTCCTGTGTGTACCTGACGGGACGGCACCTTTTGGCTACACAACTCTCTGTGCTCACTTAGACTGATTTCCTGAGATCTAGGTCCAGGCATCCTGCTTAGCACCATTACTGCACATCATTATTTGGGGCTGCGGGCTACTTAAAGTAATCCCCTCTGAATTAGCTATGCTGCCTGAACATTCCCGGCACTATGGTGCCGAACACGTCTGGATAAGAAGACAGGCAGCAACTCCTCTCCTCTCCTCTCCTCTCCTCCAGGGCCTCCGGTTCATCCCTCTTTCGCATCAGCAGAGCAATTTCCTAGAGGGTCAAGTGGGTGCGCTGGCAAAACAGCCTGATTTCCAGTCTAAGGGGGTTGACATGTTGACGCAGCAGAGAGGCAGGAGGAGGGACGAAGCCCGTCTGGTCTGGCATTAACAGCCGGCCACAAAATCAAGGAAATGCAGGGCAGGCAATGAAAAGGAGAAGCGTCTCTCTCTCGCGCATGCACTTTCAGAAGACGAGATCAGAGCAGGCCTGCGTGAAGTCACTTTCCATGACCAGGGACCCTGGCACGTCGTGGGCTGCTGCAACCGCTTGTTGTGAGAAATAGAAGGAACGTTCCGTTGTGTCCAAAGACGCATTTATCACGCTGTGAATCACAGCGGCTGAGAGGGAACATCCACGTGCAAGGACACACCACCTCTGGGCTCGCTGGGCTTCCCCGTGAGAAACGGGGCTGCCTGCTCTAGAAACTGGGGGGCCCCAGCCAGTTCTCTGCTCTGACGAAGCGGCAGTCAAGGAGGGGCACAGGAAGGGGAACGAAGGGGTCCCCTGGCTGCAGTTCTGCCCTCCTCACCCTGGTGCCACCCAGAGGGGTGCCTTGCAAAAGGCTGGCCTTTTTTCTGGAAGCCACGGTGCTGAAGTTGCCACACCAAGAAAAAATTACGACCTGTTCTAAAAAACCAAACTTCTGTATCAGGGGATGACCCACCCCGGGGGCCGGCGGTCACCTTTGCTGGGGTCATTGTCCCTTGCCCAGAAGCATTCAGCTAAGTCAGGCGGAAAGCCAACAGAAGCTGCCTAAAAGGATCTTCCCCCATCAAGAAACTGCCAGCCTGGTCTGTGCCAAAAGCCCTCTGCACATGCTCAGAAAGGGCTGGCTCGTTCATGCCCCACGCGTTCAAGGCCCGCAGATCACCAGTGTCTGCAAAGCCTGACAGGTGGGGCCTGCCCGAGGTTTCTTGTGGGGCACCTGGAGACCCCCTTAGAGGCACCCCAATGGCCACAGCAGCTGGACTTTGCTTCGGGTGAGCCTGGCACCCACCTGTGGGCCAGCAGAAAGTCCACTTGCAAGCGCAACGCGGGACAGGAGGCCAGCAAGTGGCAGGGCCGAGAGGCAGAGACGTGGCAGGGCGGAAGGGGACTTTGCCCGTTGCTCAGAGCAGATGGAGGGGGCACCGCCACCCCAGACAAAGAGAGACCCTGTTCTGGCTCCCTGCAGGAGGGGCAGCGTCCTCGAAGTTGCGGGGGGAGAGGCCTCCTTCCTCCGGCCTTGGATAAATTTAGCCGAGATTCTCAAAACAGCTGCCGGGGGCAGGATGCCAAAGAACAGGGCGGGCTGCTGGAGGGGGACCCTCGAGTGTAAACATGAACTTTACTCCAATTCCTTCTCCTCCTCCGAAGGGCGGGTGAGCTTGCATCATTCAGTTGCCCACAGACGGGACTTGTGCCGCGCAAGGCCGAGCAGGCTGCAAGCCCCCCCCCCCCCTCCAGGAGGAGAAGCTGTCGGCGGATGAAGGGCAGGCCTGGGAAAGTTGGAGCTTGCCAACCTTCCACGTAATTCTTGAGGACTAGCACCGCAAGCCAACCCATGCTTACCCCCACGCCCTTCTCCATCCTCTGGCTTTCAGCTGAAGCACACACAGCAGCCCGGGCAGAGGAACAGAAAGAACAAGGCCGGCACCACCCGCCTCCCATACCGAGAGCCTCCCCTGCTTGCTGCCAACCATGTGCCAATCCCCTTGGCAGTGCCAGCCCAGGGTGAGCCAGGCTTAAGCTGTCCTGCTGCCAAAGGGGTGGTTTCCCCCTCGTTCCAAGGGCAGTGGGGAGGGACTGGGGACGGAGGCAGGAGAGGGACGGGCGATGGGACCTCAGGCCGGCGTTTTCTCCCAACTCAGAGAAGCGGGGATGGAACTTTTTAGACCCTTTTCTCTTGCCAGTCAAATACCGGCAGCCAGAACAGTTCAAAGGAACCTCTCTGTCTAGGAGCAGTCTACCATCTCTGCACACCCAGCGCTAGAAAGCATCAGCACACGCTGGAACTAAATATTGGGTAAGGGCCTGCTCTCTGCCTCAGTGTCCCCCAGGTACAGAGAGGCACAAGGCCAACTCATCTCATGCCTTTGTTCTGAAGTGGCTGCCCGGAGAATCCCCCTTTTGCCCACTTCTGGTTTTTGGACAAAGATCCAGATAGTTCTTTTCTGAGATGAGATCACCTTTTTCGGGAGAAGAACAGCCTACAAAATCTAACCCTAGCATCTGTCCTGATGTTAGCACCCATTGTAAAAAGGCCACCATTGAACAACAGCGTGAGGGAGCACGATGCGTGCAGGTGAGATGCGACGGGTTGGGCTTCCAATCAGGGTCCCCTAATCCAGCACTCCCTTCGATGTGTTTGAACTCAACTCCCATAATCCACAGCAGACCTTGAGAGCTGGGGAAGGCAGCCACCCTCAACTGGACCTAACAGATTTGCTCCTTGGCATCTGGAAAAGAAGCCACAGGGCTCGCCCAAAAAATAATTTTAAAAAGTTTCCCAGAGCGTTTTGCAACCGCTGTTGTAGAGTGGGCTGTGCTCGGTGTGCAGCCCTCCATGGGGGTGGGGGCAAGGAGAACAGTGTGCTCAGCCCCCTGGCATCCCAGGCCTTTGTCGTCGGCCGGTCCCAAGCCTGAGTCACAGCCAGGCGGGGAGAGCATGCAATTCCAGGCTGCCCACGACCCGTTCTGGGAAGAATCTCGGGGCGCTGCTTTCTCTTGCGGTCAGCTCACCGTCTGGGGCTGCGCTGGGGATCCGGCCCACACGTGAAGTGGAGCCCAGGGCACCTCTGCTGGGGAGAAGGCCCGGCCCCAAGACGGGCTTGCCAGTTCACCCAGTTTACTGGCGAGCCCCAGTCCTCCTCTGCCCCTCTCCGCCAGAGCCGGGCAAGAGCGCTGGGCAGCCCAGGCTGAACAACCCCAGCCTCCCGGTGCCCAGGGCCTCCCCTGCAAACTGCAACGGGCGACGCTTGGTTGCTCAGCCTTTTCAGGGCCGGGACCGATAACCTTCTTGGGGCAG